TTTCCATATAAAAATAACAATTTTCATGAAATAAAGGAAATACGAATTTCTATATTATTTCTATTTCGATTCTAAACAGAAAATTTGAGAAAAATAGGTTTCTTAATTGGTACTTAATTGGTACCTCAGTGCGATTTACCTATTTGAGCATTCTAATCAGAATCTGAAATGTATTTGAGGAGAGTTTGGGAAATTTCTATGCGGGAACTTTATTAGAAAGAATATGATTTTTTGATTCTTGAAAAGTTTTAGAATGAATTTCCCAGAGCTGTTTCTAAAAATAAATTATTATTTAATTGGATTAAGTTTATAAAAAAATTTGTTAATAATCATCCTACAAATATTAGTTTCTAAATAAAGCAGATTAGGGAAATGTCACCGTTGTTCAAAATAAATTAGATTTTATATTAATTAATTACATATTAATTAATTACATATTCAAGATGGAATAGATACTTTCAGACAGTAATACATATGAGATGATAAACATCCTATAAAAAGCTTAGTGATTTGCATAACATACTCAGTAGGTGAAAAGAAAAAGGATTTATAGATGACTTAACATATCGGATTGCGTACGACTGACTTATTCCTAGAGCATACGGTTTAACGATTCATAAACAAAACTATCCTCTTAGAATCATTGTTTCATCTATAAATAGCCCACTATATATTAGGTGTTGGAAATAATTCGTAGCGTTTTTTAATGAAAGAATGTTATTTATTTCACATGAGCATTAAAAAATACATTAATGAAAGTACTTCCCATCACTTGTAAAACGCTACGAATTAATTCCAACACCTAATAATTTATCATTGTTTTTACATAATATTATGAATGACTATACCAGAAGCTCCTAGTTATAAAGAATAGCTTTGATCTCATTAATAAATTAAAAAATGTCAAACTCGAACCAGATTCTAGGTTGGTTTCCTTAGATATGGTATCCTTATTTATTAATATATCTATAGATTTGGCATCTGATAGTGTTGTTAGAAGATTAAGGATTCCATATCTAGGAAAACAAAAATTTCTTTAGATGAATTTTTAATTGCCTTTCGGATGGTTCTTAATTCCATTGTTTTTATCTTCAATAAAAGAATGTACAAACAAATATTTGTGACCCTATGGGGTCACCCTTGTCATCAGTCATTGCAGATATGGTTATGCTTCGAAGAAATTGCGATTGGAATGCTGCCTCTTCAGTTGTTATTTTATTATCGATATGTGGACGATATTATTTTGGCTATTCCGTCTGAAAGTATTAGTGATATCTTGGATGTTTTTAATTCGTTATACACTAGACTGCAATTCACTATGGAAGTTGGCATTGATGGAAAAATAAATTTTTTGGATACCATGTTGATCATAGAGGAACAGAATCTTATTTTTGATGTATATCGTAAAGCAACCTTTTCCGATAGATTCCTTAATTTCTATTCACATCATCCGCTTTCTCAAAAGAGGTGCAATTTATAGAGTTAATTTATAGAGTTGTAAATAAGATTTTTCGTTTGTGTCATCCGAAGTTTCAACAAGATAATCTAATTGACGCTATCAATATTTTTTTAAATAATGGATATCTTCTACATTTTATTTTCTCGACTATTTATAATAGAATTAAATTTCATATCAACAATATTTATAGTTTGAATAATAATATTGATAACATAGAAAAATTTTTTACTATTTCATATGTGAATATAATATCTGAAAGATTTACACCTATTGTTAACATGTTTAATTGCAAATTGGCTTTTATCAGCACTAACACATTAAAAAATTTCTTTTTAAATAAAAAGAGGAAAGGATAAGCTGAAACATGTATATAATCCGAATGTAGTTTACAGAATATCTTGTGAGAATATTGTGATGTCAGTTGATCAGACTAAAAGACAGTTAAAACTAGGCTGCACGAACATGTTTCAGATATTAATACAAGTTCAAAATCTCCATCGGTGATTTCTAACCACCATAGGGAGGAGAATCACAATTTTAAATAGGATAAAGTGGATATATTATTAGATATAGAACCTTTATACAATAAAAGATTAATATCTGAAATGGTACATATTAAGAAATAGAAACATGAAATAAACAGACAAAATGACACGAATTCTTTGCCCGAATTGTATTCTGACATTATATATTTTCTTTCTCTCTCTTAATATCTTCTTTCCTTTTTCTCTTTGTTGCCGTTTTCAGTTTTTGATGAATATTTTTCCTTCTCGACATTGCGTTATCAGACGTCGTGGAAGTCAGATGTTCTCTTGCAAATTTGCTTCAATTACTAATTAATGTATTCTACGATATGGAATACTTTCTTCCTGCGTTTTTTATCTCTTTTTTTATTAATGGACTCTCAACTATTTACTAATATAACTGACAAGATACATTATACAATAATTTTTCTTTTGTTCACGATCACTTTCTAAAGTATTACTTTCTCACTACTTTGATTTCCGATATAATTGACTTGCAGCGTACTACACAAAATGAAGAATACGCATTTTAGAATTATAACGAGTTTTGTAATATTATATATATTTGTTTTATAGCGATGTTTGAATAAGTTTATTAATTAAGTTTAACATTAAGAATGACTCGAGCGAAGTCATAACGTATATTTTTGTCCTTTGCTATTATTATATAAATTTTATGATTTAAATTAAAGTTTTTTTGCTACTAAAATGTTGACTCTTTTGCCCTTCTTTTGCCTATATTTTTTATTTACTTTTTAGTGCGCATTTTTTTGCAACTATTTTTATCAACATGAGAAAATACGATACTAAAATATTCTGAAAAAATTCTCAGAATTTTATGAGAAAAATAAATTATTTTTGTCTCTTACTGTTTTTCTGTAAAGTTGATAGTATTTGAGTAAACAATTATTGAAAACCAATATTCAGCAATTTTTAGTAATTAATATCTTGTTAACTATTTAAAAAAATTGCAAAATGGTAAAGGACTTTTCGACTCAATTTAGTCCGCTCTACATGCGCACAAAATATTTGGCGGTTATTTTGAAACATCCTGTATATTATTGCTGCTCACTGTGTCAGTTTTGAAGCCATTTTGTCAGATATTCATTTTTGCTTATCTTATAGAAAAATTAATTATTGCAAAATTACAAACAGTATTATAAATATTGCTTATACGTAGGCTACTGGAAAAGTTTCTGCAAACAATATGAAAAAAAACATGTAAAATTCGGTAAATGGCTTTATTATTTTTCGAAGTATTTGCCTTTAAGATTGATACATTTTTGCATACGCTCAAACCAATTTTTGAAGCATTTTTCCACTCTGAGGCTGTAACTTCAGAAATCAGTGTACGAAATGTTTCAACAGCTGCTTCAGGCGACTCAAATCGCTTAGCACGCATCTTCTTTTTAATGTTTGGAAACAAAAAGAAGTCATTAGGTGATAAATCAGGTGAATACGGACAATGAGTCATCAATTCGACATTTTTACTGGATAAAAAATCAACGATTTGACGTGCTGTTACAGCTGGCGTTGTCATGATGAAGGATGATGCGACGATTTTAATTTGTTCTACGCAATTCATTTATGACTTCTGGCAAACAAATTGTTGTATACCAATCAGTCCTTCGATCCTTTAAAGCCACGGTTGCCATATGTTCGGTATAACTGAAGAAACAAGCAATCAATTGCTTGGCAGCATTGTGTGAACAAACAACTTTTGTTAGTTTCGGTTCATTTTGAAATACCCAAACAGTGGATTGTTGTTTACTTTCGGTCTCATATGAATAGATCCATGTTTCGTTCCCAGTAACGATGTTGTAGAATTTGATCTCGGTTGAATTTCTTCAGCATTTCTTTGCTCCATTTAACACGAGCCTGTTTTTGAACTTTGGTCAAATTGTGTGGGATCCAACGACTGCAAAGTTTCCGTATGCTTAAGTGATCATGCAAAATCGTATGTATTGCTTTCATGTCAGGCATGCCTAAGGATGCCTAAATCTCGCGGTATGTCATATACTGGTCTCGCTCAATCATTTCACGCACAGCATCAACATTAGTAACAACAACAGACGTGGATGGACAATCTTCATGGAATTCGACACAAAGAAAGGTACGTCCATGCTGGAGTTCGGCAAACCAATTATAAACAGTCCTATTGGATGGTTCTTCACCAAAAGCCAAATGAAGTCGATCGATGCATTGTTTCGGAGTTAGATTACATTTGTAATCATAAAAAATCATTTTCACACGAAAATTTTCACACGAAATTTCCATTTTCTCACAAAATAACTTCTTTTAAAATACTGTGCAAACAAAACTAGTTGGCTTGGATACAAACTGTTAACTGAATTATAAGTTAAAAACGTCTAATTTTACAGATATGATAGTAGCAGAACGTTGGCGCCACTGGAAGTATTAAATTGCAGGAACTTTTCCAGTAGCTTATGTATGACCACAAAATGGCCAAATCTGTATATAGGAGAAATAGCCTAAACTCCGTTGTTTTCCAGCGATCCAATTCATCTAAACCTCTTGATTTTCTTTAAAATTCTATGAGTATGTATGGTATTAACAGTTTTAAATCTGTAGATAATTAATCAATTTGAGATGCACACAATTTCATGCCATTTATTCCTTGAATCCATAATTTTAGAAATCTTTTCATGACATAAGACATACGAGATGCATGTAGTCTAAGGGAAATTGTGTTACCATTTTTAATCCAATATTTTCGAAAGGTGAATTATCTAAATGATAATCTTCGTTATGTCATAATAAAAATGTTTCATCCGTGCGTAATGGAGCATTTTCATTAAGAAATAATATTCGATTATCCCTCCATTCGCCTTCTTCTTCACATTTGTCGCATCCATTATATCCTGTGTGGCCTTTAATGCATTTCATGAATGTTTTTGCAGGGGCGTCGCATTGATGAAAACCTTGTATTTCTTTCCTCTATTGAAATCTTTTATGTTTAATTTCATTATATTCCTCATTAAACTGATGAATAATTTCTTCAGTTTGATCAATTTACAGTGTTCGTAAAATATTTCGATGACAAAAGGTTTTTCTCTATAATCAGAGTGAATAATTTATCTTAAAAGTGGTCAAAACTGCACTTTGGAACTTTTTGCCAATGGTAACCCATCAATGCTTAAATTGATTTTAATTGAATTTTCAGGACATTCACGGAAAGATCTAGTGTCGTAAATGATCTTTTATTGCTTTCTGCAAACCTGATAATAAAATGTATACTTATCTATAATTTGTATCGATAGTATCGATTAGTATACCTTTTAATAATTTTTTGATTGCGTATTAAACTGGATAATTGTCGATATTTTTCTTGCAATTTTTGCTTTTATTTACTAGTAAGTATTTATATATTTCAATTTTTTTATAGCTCATATCATCATATTTCACGTTTTTGTATTGTACTTTATGTGGATAGTGTGCACTAGATGTTGCAAAACAATAAAATAATTTATCTGAATTATAAATAGAATTATTTTTGTAATTTACTACACAACAATATAATTTTGCTTTTTTTTAATTATTTATTTTCTATTTTTTTTCAATATATTAAAAAATTGCGAGTATTTTTGCTGTTTCAGATTAATTTCGCAAATTGACCGCTATGAGCGTCTAAGTCCATAAATCCCCTCCACATTCATGCACAAAGCGAATAACCGTGTAAAGTTCGAATTATTTAAAGAATTATTTCGAACCATAAAAAAAGTTCAGATCAGAGAACCAACTTGGAGAAATTAACATCTTTTGATAGTAATGCTAAAGTCACAAGTTTGTTGAATATCTGTGTGCAACAATCTATATACATTTTTCTAGCTGTCATTTCTTTCTTGCGCTAAATTTTGTTTAACGAATTCAGTAAATCCTTATGATTATATACGTTAACAAAATAGAAGTGTAATTATTAAAAGCCCAAGTATAAGTTTTTCAATTTGTTCATAATAATAGCGAACAAGAAGTTAATGTACTTTGGCAATATATGAGGTTCTTATGAGATCGAACAATTAAGTTAAAATTTTACATTTCGTTCGTGAGTTGAAAGAGTCTTATATTAGTAAGTCTGCTTTCTTTAATAATCGTTACTTGGGACCAGCGAAATCTAGATTAATTAATGATGCTTTCTGTATTGACTCGATAAATTTTATTTAAATTAAGCAGAATGTTTAAAATTTGACAATTTCATACATAATTTTATAATAGATTTTATAATATTAATTCGCGGTAATCTTTTTAAGAAAATCTTTAAGAAAATTTTAAGAAAATTTAAATACTAAAGTATTAAATTTTTGTGCATTACATAAATGCGATTAAATTAAATAATTAAATTCATAATAAATTCATTTCTACAGTTATAATTATTCTACTATGTATATCATTATTTTATACATAATCATGTATTGCTATTATTAAATATCTTTAAACTTACAATGTTATAATAACTTCTTCTGATACTTTTCAACAATTTTTTAAATTAAAATGTTTTAAATTTGACAAAGCTATTATTAAAATTAAAATAAGATATTGATTGTATTGTAAATATTGTAAGTGCCATAGTTGTATAAAACTAAAACAAGATTGTGAAGTAAATTCTTTCTCTCTCTCTCTCTCTCTCTCTCTCTCTCTCTCTCTGTCTCTCTCTCTCTCTCTTTTCTTGCATGATCTATCCTTTTTATAATTTTATCGATTTTCTATCTTCAAGCACAAAGAAATTTCAGTATAGAATACTTCTCATCGAACTATTTTGTAAATGTATATCTCACGACAGTTGTATATCCCGCTTCTTTCGAAAAGAACGAGATTAAAGAGTTGATCAGTTTAGTTTTGGGCAACCTTACCTAGTACTGCTTGTTGTGGCACCCACTTTACAAATTTGATGTTGGTCGCATGAATAGCCATGTTACCATTATGTTTCCATAGAACTCTTTGCTTAAGCGAACCTAGGGCGTTACACAATGCGGTCAAAGGTCCAGCAGGTAGTTGGTCAGTTTGCAGATTTGAGCCCAGAGAGAAATAAATAGCACCATCTTGAGCATTGTCCAGAAATTCGTGAATATCCTGAAATATTAATAAAAGTTGTTTAATGAGACCTGAGAAGTGTGATAAGTATATGAGATATATAGTGATAAGTATTTTAGTTCAAATTTTATTTTTAGTTAGACAAGCGGCATGCAATATATGTATAAAGAGATTTAAAAATATTTTGCAATATTGCATACTGCTCAGAAGTTTCAATAAATAGCAAAATTTGAATTAATATAATACAGAAAAAATTGTTTTCTCAGTTTATATTATTTATTAACTGAAATCAATGTTTTCTGTACATTAAAAAAAAAAGCAATATTCTAATTTTCAGAATTTGTAATAGACAAACATTAACACGTTAATTAGACTAAACATAGATTAAACATGCTAATAAATTTGACCTCTAGCACATTTAATTGTTTTTATGATTGCTTCTTCCACTCTTTCATACACTACCAATATTGTAGAGTAGAAAAAAATATATAGCATTAGCGATGGATAAAAACTCGCAAACTTTCTGATATCTTTAAAGATAATATCTGTGAAAGTTTAAAAAGTGTTATCATAATATACGTAACCTGCTCGCAACTTTCAACACTCATTAAATATTTGCTTACTAGTGTCTCACTATGTTCTAAGTTCTAAATTCCTTTATTCTTCTTTTATTTCTTTGCACAGAAATTTAATTAAAATAAAGTTAACACTTTTATGTTTATAGTTCAAATATAAAAAGGATGAACATTTAATAGATAAATGCATTCGGCAAACAATTACGTCTTTTTTTGCAAAAAACAATATTTATTAAAATTTTTGAGCGGTACTGTATTTACTTGTATAGAAATAATAGTGTGTGTACTTTTAACGTGTATAATCAGTTCTTTTATTAAAATATAAGTGCAACTGCAGTTCAGTAGGACTGATGGTTATGAATAATAACTATTAAAGGTAACAAAATCTAACATGTGTGAAACACATTTCTTAATATACGTGCTTCTTCGCAATTAAAATAATTGAATGCCATTTTGTTATATAAGCATTATTGTTTTTTAAGAGAGGATCCCATTTTGCCTACAAATCGATTGCCTACAACATTATTTGCCTACATTACTTGCTGATAGTTCGTTTGCGCACAAAGATTATTGTCTACAGCTCAATTCACTTTTGCACATAAGTAAAAATTTCAGAAACGAAGTCACATTTACATACCTGTATTATTGCCTACATATGTTATTGCTTACATGTATTATTGCTTACATGTATTATTACTTACATGTATTATTACCTACAACTAGATTGCCTATAAGCACTTTGCGCACAAATAATAATTTTAGGAACGAAGTCGCATTTACTTACATGTATTACCAATATAGCACCAAAAGTTTTCAAAGATATCTCAAAAATATTTTAACTGAAAAGTGAAACATTTCATAAAAATTGTGAAATATGTCTGCAATATTTCTGAGGAATAACAAAATGTCTGCGATTCTTGAAACTATGTTAAAAAATTAATGAAAAGTTACAGAAAGAATTTCCAATTTTTTTGAAATATTACCAAAAAGATTCCAGTTATTTCTAGTATTACAAAAATAATATTTAAGTATATACTTGATTGATACTTAAATAATATTTAAATTTATTATGTCGACGTAATAAATTTAAATATTGTTTAAATATCATTTAAACATATAATTATTTAAATTTCATTTTTAAAGAACTTAAAATTTATTAAAAGTTTTACAGATTGCAAAACTTATTGAAATAAATTGAAAGTATTTCTCAAAAATAATTATTATATCGCCAATTATTTTAATTAATTAGTCATATTGAATATATAAGCACATATACATAATTACTATTAAAAAATCACACCTAGAGTTTCCACACAATATCATTATTCATATACAAAAGTTCTGCGGTATTTCGTTAGCTTAAAATTATATACAGAATATATTCGTTGCAAAATTTTCGACTATCTGACATGAAAGAATAAAGTTTTTCTTAAAAGTTCGTTTTTAAATAATGCTTCTATGACTTTTTGTTACCAAGTTACATGCGAATTAAATAAAAGAGTATTCTGATTTTGATTGTTCAGAACTCCGTTAAAAATCATCGTACCATAATTAATAAAACAGATTCTTAAAGTTGAAACTTTGCTCTATCGAATGTACCATGATAATTTTTTAAATGTAAAATATATATAATTTGAGTTAAAAATTTGATATTACTGTCCTTATAATCATTGCGCAATGGTTAAAAGAAAAGTAAAGTCAATTTTTAGCTCATATTTATACAATATATATTCTATTTATTAAAATTGGCAAATGTATCACTCGACAGAACAACGTTTCAGCTTTAAGAATCTTTTTTTATTACAATGATTTTTAATGGAGTTATAAGCAATCAAAATCAGAATGCTCCTTTTTATTTAATCCACGAGTAACTCAGAACAAAAAATTATAAAAACATTTTTAAAACATTTTGTAGAGAAAGCTTCAAGCTTTTACGATAGATAGTTAAAAATTTGTTCAAATTTTTTTTGGACACGCTACAGACTTACAAAGAGCAAAGAAAATTTTTCATTTTTTTCAGCTCGTAGTTTTCTGTATATAAAAATTCCAAAACTCAAATAAATTGAAAAAATATAACAATCATTCGAAAATAGAGATTTTAAGATTTAAAATCCTTTTTTTAAATTTAAATTTTGATTACTTTTAACGAAGATGTTGTATATATAATTTTGAGCTAAAAATTCCGTAGATCTAATATTTTAATAAATAATAGTATTTAAAGATTATGCGTTTCGCGAATTTCCTTCGTCCAGATCCATTCTTGGAATGCCAACGTTTCGTGAACCTTGCAGTGGAATGTATGATCTGTGTAAATCTTCTGTAGTTTCAATTATAAACAAAGTTTGCGTCACTAAGCCAACGGTATAACGATTATTCTCTTAGTCAGTGCTTGTTGGACGTCGTTAACTAGCGTTTAGCTTACTTTTTGACAAATTTTATTTTTATAACGTTTTACTCATTTATAGAAGTTTCCAGTTATTATTATATTCACTGTCTTAATTTTTTAGAGCTACTTGATAAAGCAACATTATAAAGGTTAAATTAGCTCATGATCTGTTTTACAGACAGATGTGGTTTATGCTGCATCCAAATTTTAAATTCGTATTATGAAGAAACTAAAAAAAAAATAATATAACTTAAACTGATTTAGAAAATTACAAGCATTTAAAATGACGTAATATTATCAATAATATTATCAATAATAGTCACTATTATTTAAAAAAACTACGCAATTTGCAAAAGAAAATTATTTTCGTAAGAATTTTATTTTCGCATTTATAGAATTTGTTTTTAACTGATTTGGTATAGAAATAAGCCACAAATACACGAATTATGAGTTTTTACTTCTTTAATTAGCTAAATAGATTATGATTTTACTAATATTAATATAGTGCAATAGTTAGTTTTTGAGAAATAAGGGAGTGTCACATTAGAATACCTATGTCAGTATTAGCGACTTTCCTCTACATATAAAAACTATTACAAATTAACGAAAAACTAAGGAATAATATACAAAAAGTCGAAAACGTAAAATCGAATTGTCAAACGTTACATTCACATTAGTTGTAAATAAGGATGCCATTATTTTATTATTGCGCATTTTCGGGAATACACCTTGTCTAATTCTATCATGATCAAAATGACGTTAAATTGAATCGTGATTAATAAAAATAAGACTTAGTAAACATTTTCGATTTTAACATCATGATGATTTTTTTGTTCTGTTTAATGTTTTTCAATTTATTGCATATGATATATTTTGGAAAAACTTCTGTTAATACGGGACAAGTCAATAAGTATCTTAGAAAATTTGTTAAAGGGCACTCGCAGTGTCATGTCACATTTCTTTTTGACAAGTAGCATCTTTCAGCTGATTACTATCAAATTTTGCGGAATTCATCGCATGGTTTCATTTCTGTAGACAATTAAAGCGAACAACCTTCGTATTTTTTACAAAATGGAAAAAAACGAGTTTTGTGCAGTGATCAAACATCTACATATGAAAGGTTTAACGTCGAAAGAAATCAAAGCCAAGTTGGATAATGTTCATAGCACATCTGCACCAACATTTGCGATTGTATACAATTGGGTGAATGAATTTAAACGTGGTACATCCACATGTGATGCATCTCGTTCGGAACGTCCAATTCGAGAGTTGCTATGCCAGAAATCATTGATAAGTTCACGATATTGTTTTGATCAACGAGTGAAAGTGCGCGAGCTTGTTGAGGCCACAGGCATATCACATGGCACTGTGATTTCAATTTTGCATGAATAATTGGATATGAAAAAGCTGTCGGCAAGATGAGTGCCGCATTTGCTCACTGTGGACCATAAGCTCGACCGTATGACGATTTCAAAACAATGTTTGGAGATGTTTCAACGTAATCCAGATGAATTTCTGCGTCGATTACTGTGGACGAAACATGGATCCATTACTTCACACCCGAGACGAAGGAACAGTTAAAACAATGGACTTCACCCAGTGAACCAGCTCCGAAGAAAACGAAGACCGGAAGTCGGCCGGAAAGGTGATGACCACAGTTTTTTGGGATGCATGTGGTATAATTCATATCGATTACCTTTCGTCGAAGCAAACGATCAATGGCGATTACTACGCAGCTTTATTGGACCGTTTCAACAACATTTTAAAGAAAAAACGTCCCCATTTGGCGAAGAAAAAAGTGCTCTTCCATCAAGATAATGCACGGGTTCACACGTGCCCGATGGCCAAATTCAACGAATTCCGCTACGAATTGCTTCTCCATCCAGCATATTCGCCAGATTTAGCCTCTTGTGACTATTTCCTGTTTCCAAACCTGAAGAAATGGTTCGGAGAAAAGAGATTCATCATCAGAGAGCAGCTCAAACAGAGGCTTAAGTTGAAGGATTGGACAAATCATATTATTTGGACGGCTTGAAAAAGTTGGAAAATCATTAGATCAAGTGTATCGAGCTGAAAGG